GTGAGAGAATTTTTAATGCCTTTAAATATAAGGTTCACAAAATGGGAGGGGGACACTGAGGGAAAATAGACATTTTTTCCTTCTCAGGAAAACTTTATTGAGAGGCTCTGGAAAAGGGAAAGAAATCAGAGCTCTACAGAGAAAGGAAATATAGTTATCTTTGTGTAATCTTTGTCAATTGAGACCACAGGTCATAAAACTCCGTATTTTTACACCAGGTGGTGTTCCACTTATGATCTGACAAAAACCATGTTGCAGAATCGTGGGACATCATGACTAGAAATGATCTTTATATCTAATTTTCCTTCCACACATCGTCCCTGCCATGGAACTGCCGGTTTGATTTGAAGAAAAAAAAAAAAAGTAGCATATTGTTTCAAGAGAACGAATTCTGCACAAGCAATTTACTATCAGGACACATGTAATTAAGTGCCACCACCCTGAAGGAAATATTCAAAAGGAAGATGGGTTACACACTGGCCCTTCTGGTAACTGGACTTTTAACCTAATAGGAGCTAAGTCACTACACACACTAACCGCAATACAAGGCAGTAAAAAAAAGTTCCACCCGAACAGAGCAAATACAGTGCCGCCTAAACAATGATCAGACAGCAAAGATCCTTCTGGCTGGGCAGAGCTCACCAAAGAAGGCAGGCTGAGAGTGGGGCCCCAAGATGGCAGGCTTTCTAGAGGTAAATATGGTCGTGAACAAAAGCGTGGAGGCAAAAAAATGCAAGTCAAGTTCACGTATCCAAATGCTCAAACTTAACCGCTACATGAAAAATGCAGCTCGGAACACGGAAAAACCTCTCCAAGAGTGAAGCTTTTTAAGAAATCTCATGTAGTGGACTAGAAAGAAACAGTATTCTTCTTTGTATAGAGTGATTCAGCTGGGATGCTGCCTAAACACAAGGGTTGTATTTGACCAGTTGGCCTTTCAAGATTTCTCCCTAGGAATCTGCAACGCCAACAAAGTGAATCTATTTTTCCCTATGGAGGTTTCTCAAGTCTTATTTTCTGGTGTTTTTGGTGTTTATTGAGAGTGAAAGTTTTCAAAGTAGGGACTGGGTATTTCTCCTAAGTTGGACAATCCTAAGGATATCAAGGACTTGCACTACTTTCAATAAACACAGTCCACACATCACAATTTTTAAAAAGGAAAGGACAGTCACTCATAAGCCTCTTAATCAGGTCATTCCTTGTGAATCTCCTCAATGAAAACATCAAAGCCTGATGCATTCATTGATTTCCGTGTCTGATAGCAGGGCACCGGTAGAACTGGGTACAGTAGAGCTGCTGGGGGAACTGCTAGGAGCCAAGTGTCTAAAAAGCAGGAAAAGGGTTACCCAGAAGTTGCAAACAAAACAAACAAACAAGAAAGCTCTCGGCGAAAATGACATTTTACTCTTTCAACAGACTAAGAATGGCACACATGATTATATAACTGTTCCCAAAGCTGCCCATTTTTCACAAATATTAATAACTAGAAAAAAAAAGGAATGCACACAAAATCAACTTTAATCGTGAATGCCCAAAACACCATCTTACACATAATTTATAGGAGTAAGCCTATGAAGCCTTCCTTTTTTGAAGCAATGAAATTAAGAATTTCCAGGGTGCA